TTTGAAAGCTATATTCTTGTTTACACAGTCCCTTATAGCATTTTCTTTCTTAATGACAGCATGAGTGCATGACATATTTTACATTCATCTCTTCCACTCTGTAGACGCTGGGCCATTTTCTTGGGAACTGTTATCTTGCCAGTATTTTTTGGTTTCAATTATTTCTGCCTAGACATATTAATTGTCCTTGTTTTGAATCCTGTTTTTAGCCTGTTTCTCCAATTTACGAATGTCTTTTTTTTTTTTTTTTTTTTTTTTTTAGTTCCAGTGTCTTCCATCATACTTGCAGCTCTCCTCAATGTGTGATCTGGAAACATGACAAGCAGAGTCATAACGTTTCTTTCTGGAAGTGACCTGTTGCCATGTCCAGTGCTCAAAAAATCCCCTAAGTGCTCAGATACTTTGGAATATCTTGCTGTAAATGTAAATATCCCTGAGACACTGCCATATATCTTACAGGACATTCAGAAAAGTGAATCCAGCTGTTTAAAAATTTAGGCTAGCAGCTGGCTCACCTGTATAAAAGTCACCCTATATTCCCATGCTCAGTATGCAGCGATGCTTTTTTTTTTTCTGAGCTCATGTTACTTTCTTTGTACCTTGAAGTGATGATGGTGTCCACATTGATTTGTCATAAGCTGATTTTCCTCCAGTCTTCCCAGTCCTCTAAATAATTATGGGCCTGTTAAAGAAGCAGCTTTGTTTATTCTCATTGAATTTGATCATTGTATGAAATCAAGCATGCATGTGTAACTCTACAATAAAGTGCGGCCCAGCACTGTAAGTTGCCTAACCTACTCCCAATAGAAAACCCTGAAAAAAGAAGGCTATAATCACAGTTCAGGAGGGATTATGTACTGATCAAAGTCAAAGTGGCAGCTCCATTAAAATTTGTGGATTTCAGAGGCTGCAGAATACATGGCCTGGTGTAATGATGAAGAAAATTATTTTTTAACCCCCCCAATTCTTTCTCAGAAATACCGTCTCAGATTTCCCTTAATATTTTCCAGAAGGTGTGTAGACCTTCTCTCAGTCACTTCCAGACTGCCTGTCTTTGTACAGAGAAGTATTGTCTTCCTTTAGTGCAACACATGAGGCTTTTCCCCGTGCTTTTCCTTAAAGTCTAGGCAGTGGAGTTGGCATTTGATTCATAAGCTTTTGATCCATACTTAATCCTAGTGTGGCAGGCATCCAGAGCATGCAGAGCGTTGGATATTGTGTACCTAATGGAGTAGCTGCTGGCGTACAGCACAGTAGGAGACTCTCTCATGTTCTCAAACAGCACCGTTAGAGTCTGTCAGTGTTCCCTGGCTGGGTCTTTGGGGAGAGAGGCTGAAAGAGTTCTTGAGAAGCAGGGTCTCTTCTGTTTGCTCCCATTTCTTTGCAGTGGGTTTGCAGGGAAAGTCAAATTCAGTGAAAGGTTTTTTGTTTTTCATCTGAGAGCTACTTAGGCTGCACCATCAGTTCACAGCAAAATAATCCCATAAAATGTGATGTGTAATTGCTCATTTCAAAATGTTCTCTTATACCACTGTAGATCAGGAGAATGTCCTCTGAAAACAGTGGAGTTATTCTCATTTTATTCAGTGAGAATATAATTAAAGAGATAGGAAAGCAAAGAAATGTAGCAGTAATGAAATACAACTGATGACATAAATGTTTCAATCTTTTCTTGCTTAGAAGAAAGACAGAGATCCTGATTGCCTGTAGGCTTACAGTTCAGGGGTAAAGCAGTCCAGCTCTGCGGAGACGATCAGAAGTGTGGCTTGTTATGGCAAGCTTCAGGCAAGTCTGATGTCTCATTTCATTAAGTTTTACTTAAAGATACAGAGAAGGATGTAAAGGGCAAGAGAGCCCAAAGAAAAGAGATGGAGGTTATGCTGGATCACAGCTGCAGACTGAAGTCCTCTAGAAAGAGTCCGAATCATCTCAGAAGCTTCTTTGGAAAGGACGGGGTTTTGCAAAACCTGAGAAGAGTGATGCAGTCTTAGCTCTTCTCTACTGTTGTGCTTTACAAGACCGAATGTTTCTCCACAGGCAAGCTGGGACAGCTTTGCTTCTGCTGTCCAGTTCCCTGATTTGGCAACTTGAAAAGACTAGCAGGCCATTTTCTAAAAAAAACCCCTCAGTCATCAAGAGAGAGTGGGATATCAGAATCACTAATATAACATGAAAGGAGTGATAGGAAACATCAACAATCCCTGGTAAGCAGAGGAAATGAGAATAATATTCAGGAGATAAAGTCAACTTCTGACACTTTCAGGAAACTGAGCAGTCATGTAGGGAGAGTATCTTGGCAAAAACTTCTAAAATTGCTTGAGAAACCCCCAACCTTGTCAAAGCAGGGGCTCAGCTCACGTGGGCAGAGCAGGTTATTATTTGTTGAGGCATTTTACAGGATTGTCTGTGTCTTCAATTGCTTCTCACACATACGGCTTGAAGTGTGTTGCAGGGTGGTCAATATCATTGCTCCCGCTGTGCTGAAAGGCCAAATGAGCACTCGGAGTTGATAATTTGCCTGGGGTTACCCAGAAGCAGAGCAGAAGACTCCAGAGTGCCTGTTTAGTACATTATTCACCCCAGCAGTGTTTCCTGAGAAGAATCCACCCGGGGGAAGGTTGGCACGATATATTCACACGGACAGAGATCACATCAAAGAGTTTAACACCTCAAATTGACAAAGGCGAAGCAGGAGCACAGAGGGATGCATTAATTTTCTTCTAGTCTCACAGCAGGTTAACAGAAGAAAGAGGGCTGCAAGCCAGGGGCCTTGCCTTGCTGACAAGCAGCCCACCCCCAGGCCAGGCTGGCTCCTCCTGAGCTGATGCCCTGTTTTCATCTGGAGGTGGAAGACAGAAGTGATAATGAGATACATTTATTTTGTGCACCAGTGAGGTTCTAGAAACAGAAAACAGAAAACCTCTCTGGCAAAGGGGAGCAAAATAAGAAGAAAATTTAGAAATGCCACACGTGCATCTATTTCACATTTGGCAATTTGTACTTCATAGTTAAAACAATCTCATATGTGCCCTATGAAAGTGTGAGGCTGCATGAATGAAGACAGCACCTATTTCCCTTATGTTTTGAGCAGGGAGCCATATGTTTTAAAAATTGAAAGGAACAATTAGTCTTGGAGCATTAAATCTGCCCATCTAGGTAGCTGACTAGCTTTCTCACAGAGATGGCTGTCCCATAACAAAGCTGAGGAAACAAGGCTTTGAAATGTAAATAGTAGTAGGTGTGCAGGAACGTAAATTAGGAAATTCGACAGTTTTAATTACTTTCATTTACTTTCATCTGCTGAGTTCCCAGGCTGACATCAGAAGTTACATCTGTCGGGTTGCTGGCAGGGTGGGGTATGGAGGCAGAGGGACATGGGGACATGTAGAGTCTGCAATAGCAGCACATTATCTGATGTAAGAAAACCCTAATAGGAACAAGAGCTTCCCAACATCTCCCCCAAACATGGAAAGTACCATGTGGGGGTAGCTGTCAGCTCAGCAGGAGCTTCCAGGCATCTGGACACTTAAATCACATCATTATTCCAGACACGTCTGGATTCCCCAGTTGCGGTTTTCCTATTTTGCTGGGAAGGATTATGGATGGAAGGAGGATTGAATGATAAAGTGAATCATGTGAGAGTGAGGGAATGCCTACACGATGAAAGAAAGGGTGTCTGGAGGAGACCGTTTTATTTCAGTGAATTGTGTGGAATAGAAGAATACAGATTTTGGGCATTATGGTGCCTAACACTATGCTAAGACACAGAAGGTTTGTGTGCTGTGCCTGTTCTAACTGTGAGATCCTTGGGGTAAGGACTATGGGTTTTTTAGATCACCTAGCACAGTATTGCCCTGGTCTTTGTGCAATTCTGGAATAAAAACATTAACGATGTTTGTTTTTCATGGCAGAGTCTGTGGCAGGCTGTATTCACAAAAAGATTCAGTTTATCCAATTTAATTATTTTCTGCTTAAACAAAACATGTTCTTAGTTTTCTGTTTGGTTTTGGTTTTTTAAATAGTTTATTCAGATGAGAAATGTCCCTTTGCAGTATTTGACAGCTACTTTTGTGTGACCTGAGTAAGTTAATAAAAATCAGAATGTCAAATACGTCATTACAGTTAGTTTTCAATGACCATTTCAGTGTGCTAGTTTTGTGCTTGACTGCCATCATAGAGCAAGAGGTAACAAGCCAGGGCCTCATCGGCATCCACCACTGGGCAACACTCAAAACATCTAGTCATTTAACAGGCAAATGCAAAATCTATAAACCAGTGTGACGAACCACCTGCAAACTCCTTTCCTACTGCTCCTTCTCCTGTTCTCCTTCTCCTCCACTAAATCTGCAGACTCTTAACAGAGTGTCAGCCTTCAACTCTGCTGCATGTGTGAGAAGGCAAATAGGGAATAGGAGCAGGGGTACACTTTTCCCATGCCATTCATTGTATTTATGGAGTTCTTTCTCATGTCTGTTCTTGTCTGATTCCTCTATAACACAGCCATATTTAACTTAGTAGCTGTTTTGCTGAAAAAGAATGGAAGCTACTTCACCATTTCACTAACTTGCTTTCAGATAGTTGTAATTTACCTTTAATTTTGTGCTTTTTATAATTTATAGCTAAGTAACAGAGAATGAGCTACTCTGGAATTTGCTTTTAAGGCCAGGTACATTCCAGGAGCAAAATTTAGAAACATTGTTTACACACTGTTCTAAGAAACACATGTTATTGTGGTTGCTTTCTTATTTAATTGGGTTGAAACAGACTCCAACAACTGTTTTGGGAATACTTTTGTGTCAGCATAGGCTATTTCCTGACTCACCTTGGTGAGCAGACTCTCTGAGTCTCATTGCTTGATAGGTGAGTGTAAGAGGCTTCTGTATAAAAGGCTACAGCTTATTTTTATCATTTTAGCTGAAGAGGAAACATGGAGAAAGTAGAATGGGGATCCACATCTATCAGTTATTTTTCTATTTCTGAACTCTATTTTTATTTTGCAGGTGATGGAGATTAAAGGACAAATGATTCATGTGCCAGAATCAAATTCAATTTTGTTTCTGGGTTCCCCCTGTGTGGACAAGCTGGATGAACTGATGGGCCGAGGCCTCCATCTTTCGGACATACCTATCCATGATGCTACTCGTGATGTCATACTGGTTGGGGAGCAAGCAAAAGCCCAGGATGGCTTGAAAAAACGAATGGATAAACTGAAGGCAACGCTAGAATGCACACATCAAGCCCTGGAAGAGGAGAAAAAGAAAACAGTAGATCTCCTTATTTCTATTTTCCCTGAAGAAGTGGCTCAGCAGTTGTGGCAGGGGCAGCAAGTTCAGGCCAGGAAGTTTGATGATGTCACCATGCTCTTCTCAGACATTGTTGGCTTCACTGCCATCTGTGCGCAGTGCACGCCCATGCAGGTCATCAGCATGCTGAACGAACTCTACACACGGTTTGACCATCAGTGTGGATTCCTGGACATCTACAAGGTAATGGCTCAAGTCCTAAGTTAGCAATATCTAATTGAAACTAAGAAAGAAAAAAATCCCAGTAGCCATCTTCCTAAATTATAGACCTTCCCTATAAAAATGGAAAGGCAATATTTTTGTTTTGTATGAAAAAAAAAAATTTGAAATATACCCACTGAAAATCGAATACTTTGATGCTGAGCTGTCACCGTGGTTCCCCTATGGGAATATGTGCCTCATATACCCATTTTCCTATAGGACTGTACACATCCTGTATTATAGCCTGATTTTCTTTAGGTGACACATCAGCCACGGTGTCCTAAGGGTGATGAAGTGCATAGTGATGATCCTAGCCCAAGCTGCAGCTCCTGGAAGGCACTTGAATACTTTGTATTTCAGCTGAGACTTGAATGATTTGGGGTTTAGGCACTTATCTTTCCCCTGAAATAATTCAAATTTTCCATAAAGAGCAGAGCATTGACTAAAAAGATGTTCTAAGACATAACTTCCACTGAAACCCAGGAAGAGGACAGCAAATGTCCATTCAGACTAAATTGGATGAGTTGGACATGGCACTGGGGTGCCATGCTCCTTTGCTGCTCTAGTCCTGTTACAGACTTTATCACCTTCACTTCTCTTCAGTTTAGTGTTCAGTATGTATCTGAAAGAAGAAAGAGGGGAGGTAGAATTTAATAAATGCAGTTAAGATATTACCTGTGTAATTATCCTGTGGCATCTACAGAGAATATGTTTTGCATATGGAATACCTTGAATTTTATGACAGGAAAAGCAGAGCAAATTTCTTTTTATAACTGAACGTGCCAAAGAAGAAAAAATAGTTGTAAAATTATGTATTGATTTTGTTTTCTGTCTGAGGCTCGCAAACTAAATCACCAGTTTTCAAACTGTTTCAAATAGTATTTGTTGATAGGCTATAGAGAAAAGGTCTTCACAAGAGCACTGTCCCTTTAATTTTTAGCCTCTAATGCACTTTAAAAGGCATCAGAAAATATTAATTACCCACCTAAATAATAATTGTGGCTGAAAAGTTACAATACGTCCCACAGATAGAACTGAACATGGTACAGATATAGGTTGGTAGGACAGTATACCAAAGGAAAAGATCACACTGTAAATAAGTTTTGTGCTCCTGGGCTAGGAGTTTATATTAGTAATGCTCAGAAGCCAAAGGCCGTGTTAGGAGAGAACTGCAGTGGAAGGTACCAACCCTCATTTGAAAATTTTTATGCTGATATAGTCAGAAAAGATTGGAAGTTTGATCTCAGTTGGTATTTATCTGGTTGTTACTGCACTGGATCTTGAGCCATCTCTGAGAACGGGATGTGAGAAACTTCTGACCCACAGTCAAGAGTGGTATCTAGTGACCCTGTTTCACATGCTGTATCTGGTACATGGGTGTAGTTAGTGTTTTCCCAGATGATTAATTTTAGTTAGCTGTTTTGAGGCATTCAGGACATTCTTTGTTGAAAACTATGGTTACATGGGAATAGGAAATAAAGCATATAAAACTCTATGACCTGTTTGGAAAGAAGGTTGGCTGAGTCCTATGAGAACACTAGGAAGGAATATTTATACATAGATCATGAATATTATATCATTTAGACCATGGCTTTCTGCCTTTCACTTAGCTTTGTGCCACTTTCTATAGAAAGATGTTACTGTATAGAAGTACTGTCCTGACCAGTGAAATCAGATGACAGCAGCTGAGATAGGCAAGATGAGATTTATGCATTCAGAAAATGAATAAACACTCCAAAAATTTAAGACCCCCCCATGTAATTCTATGAGCAGAGGAATAAACAAAGCCTGTTTTTCTATGGGAGGATGTCTTACACCTGTAACACCTGTTCTCCACTGTTACTGCCTTAATATAGCCTGTTCTTTCTCAGATCCTTTCATCCTGGGTTTTCCTCCATCTCCCTACTCCCCTGTCTTCCCTGAGCCTCCCTACACATCCCCCATTTCCCTCCACAGCCCATCCATGAGCAAGGCAGTGTGCACTGTGGCTATTTTGGAGCTATATGTACCTTTTTTCCTCCTCCCAATTCTTTTTTTCATTTGTTTTTTTAACCAGAAGTCTAAAAAAGTTACTGTGGGGTTAGGTGAAAATGTTTCAGTTGATCATTACAGAAAGACAAAACTCAGGCAATGAACCCTTTTTTTTCCTTAGAGAATCAGGCTTAAAATAAAATGACAATTCTTTTGAAAAAAACATTTGCATTTTAATATAAAAGTAGCTTGTGTGTTTATATCTTTTTCATTTGTTTCAGATGATATTCTGGAAGCTAAGTTTATTGCTAGGAATAATCACCACCACAACAACTATAATTTTAGAAGTTATTGTTGGGTTGTGAATTTTAGATATGTAATCGCCAGGATTTGTACCCACAGCCTGCCTCTAAGATATACTCCTGTAACTAGGCTACCGAAATTTATCATGTGACCTATATATACATCAAAACAGATCAATTTTCAAATTTGCTTCTTTTTAAGCAACATGGCAAGAATAATTTGCAAAGATTATTTGGTGAGTACTTCTGAATACCAATTTGACCATTTTGTAAACAGAAAATTAAGCAAAACTCATTAAATAAATTCCATGCTGTAAATTATTCACCCAGCTTTACTGTTACAGCATTTTGAATTCAGAACCTCGGTGCTTCTAATCTTGGATTCAGACAATGAATGTAATATTTTCAATCATCTCACACTATTCATTCAGGGATGTTTACAGAGAAGTATGGCACAGAAAAAAGAACAAAGATCCTCGCATTTAACAAGTCGGACATAGAGGGCAAGCATAATGAGCTGTTGGATACAGAATAAGAAATGTTTGGAGAGGGCTGAAGGGGGATGAATTAGACTTTGAAATTTCTTGGAACTGGAAGTAAGTGGCTATAACAGATGAGGTAGGGAAGGGATACCAATGGATGGATACATAGGTGCAAATGACACAGGCAGATGATGGGCTCAGAAAGTGAACTTCACAGGAGCATTTTGAATGGATACCAAAGGTGACGGACTACGTTTGTCCATCTGAGGGAGAACATTGCAGTAATTGAGATGCATGGTGATACGAGCCTGGATGACAGTTTTAGCAAACTGAAAGAATCTGTGTTTTAGAGAGTGAAACTTAAGAAAGAATCTGCTTACATATAGCCTCGAAGAGAAGGTCAAAAGGGACACTCTTGAGGTAATCACAGAAGGGAGAAGATGTGAGAAAACTGAGACCCAGCAATGCATTTGGAAACTGGTGCTGCTGACTGTCTGAGCTAATTATATTTGGCTTGGAATTAAAGAGTGAAAGAAAGAGATGCTGTCAAGCATGGAGTGCAAATCAAAGCAATGTAGATGCAGATGCTTGCTAAGTTAGTGACTGTGGACATGCAAGTAGAAACATGGACTCTGGGAGCAGAAGTAATGGGAGAGAGAGGATCTCAATAAATTTTGAAAATAGTTGCTTTGGGTAAAATATATACTGGTTGGCCTGACTGTTTGTGTCTTTGTTTTGACCTGTTTTTCTCTGTATGTTCCTGTTGTTTATGAGACAAGTGCTGGGAAATGATGCTCCAGCTAAACCATCTCTTTATCAAATAAGCAATTTAGATATGCTGCAGCCATGGCTGCTGGCATTTAAAACTTAACCCTGCAGACTGAAATCTTCCCTGCTTTAAATTTCTGCAGCTTCTGTTTCTCCCTCCAAGTAATACGTCTTTCACATAAGATCATTTTACATATTTTTCCTTGTTGGGTCCTTTTGCCTGTGTAGGCCTTCTTTCTCAGCTCTTTTCCCCTCAGCTTCTTTTCTGAAACAACCCCATTTCCTCCCCTCACCCTTTAACTACTGCATGGAGTAAAGGCAGCATGGACTGTGGCTGGTTTTTTGGCGATGCATGCCCTGGCTGGGTGGCTATATCTGCTGGCTGGGTAGCACCAAGCCAAACAGAGCAGAACCAGGCCTGCTTTTGCAGGTTTTGGTTTCTTTGTCCTTCCTCTGGACAGCGCAGCATTTGTCCTTGACAACATTTGCAGATTTTCCCCTAACACTAAACTTCACTTTCTAGGAAGTGCTGAGTCCAACTTCCCACGTCTGAGCAGAAAGTCCCAAATGTTTTTGACAATGGGCTACTGTCAGCTGCCAAAATGTCTTTGCTATACATCTTTGTTGTCAAAATTTTAATTGAAAGTTTATTCAATATTTATTGAATAAGACAATATAATTCCACAGGTTAATTTTATGGTCAGAATTGACCATAAAAAAGTTTGTTATGTGAATTTCTGCTTTCTCTTTGGTTTTATTATTTGGCTAAACTGACGCTCTCTCTGAGTGGTGCCACACACAGGCCTCAAAGTCCTTCACCAGCTCCCTTGGGGCTCTCTTTGGCTGTTATTCTTGGCAACATTATTTCACTCACTTTACACTGAATCATATTACTTTCTTTTTTTCTGAATGATACAGTTAGTATGACAGATCTTCATTTTCTGATTTTATACACCTTACTCTGGCTGCAGCCTTAATTTTTGCTCATTGTAAAGACCCGAGACTAAAAAAGGGTCAGAAGTCTGGACTGATACTCACCAGTTCTGAAAAATGTTTATTTTGAGGTTGTGTTATAATGCTTTTAAGCACTTAATTTTAAACTCACATTTTCTAAATATCACTTCATTTTTTTATACTGACAGTTTAAGTTACAGAAATCAGTATTCATTTTACAGAAAATACCTGTACTTTCTCAGTGCCATGACTATCCGTCCTTGACAACTGATAGTTGGACATATTCACATATATGTTCTTAAGTTTACTGTCTGTGCCATAATGACTAAAGAATACTGCAGTGACAGGAATCATGAGCTTCAGACTATTCTGAGGTTTTCCAGGCTATATGTTTCATAAGTTCAAAACCATACTCTCCAAGTATTCATGTAAAATCTATGGCCACTATTTTTGTCTTCTTTCCATCACTTCTGCAGTTTCTGAACCTTTTAAGTTCAGTGCAACT